TGCTTTGCTGGAAACGTATTTCAGGTCCAGAGTTTTCTGGTGTAGTCTTTAGAGTGTTTATAGTAAAGGGCTGTGTCGTCTATAAATAGGGTCCTCTGGCTGCTTTCTTTCCTTTCTGTTTGCTTTAATCTCCTTCTCTTTTTGGATTGCTCTAGATAAGACTTTGAGTACTCTATTAATAAGAACACAGGAGGGACCCCCTTTTCTCTTCCAGGTTCAAAGGAAATGCTTCCGGTTCTTCCTCATTTAGGATAATGCTGGCTGTAGGTTTGAGGTATGTGCCTTTATTGTGCTGAGTTGTTTCCTTCCATTCCTGGCCTCCTCAGTCTATTTCTATGTTGCACTGCACTTATTATAGTGTATGTATTGAACCAACTTTGCATCACTGGGATGAAACCAGCTTGATTATGATGTATGATCTTAATATATTCTTGATTTACAATTATTTTGTTGATCATTTTACATCCAATATTAATCAGAGAAACTGATCTATAGTTTTCTTTTTCATATGTGTTTTGATCTGGTTTTGTATTAGGGTAATGCTGGCTTTCTAGAGTGAGTTTGGTAGTGTGTGTGTGTGTGTGTGTGTGTGTGTGTGTGTTCGTGTGCAACAGTTTGCGGAGCATTGGTGTTCATTCTTCCTTAAGGGTTTGGAATTCATCACTGAATCCATTTGATCCTGGCTTTTCTTTGTGGGGAGACATTTTTCAAAAATATTTTTTCTTCACTATTTTTATTGAACTTTTGTTCATTTCATACATCTTAATCATATTTAGACTCATCTCCCCTCTCTGCACCCTTCCATACCCCCCACCAGATTTCATGCATTCTGTCATATCTTAATCATAGTTAGACCCCCTCCCCTATCTGTTCCTCTCCTTACCTTCCCACTGGATTTCACGCATTTTGTTATATATATATTAAGGCCTATCAAGTCAAGTTTGTGTTCCCAGATGTCCCTCAGTAGAGCCTGGTCAACCTATCTAGCGTCAGTCCTGAAAGAAGACCTGACTCTCCTTCACTCAATAGTGATCAGCTTCTTACCCACTTCCTCATGTCTATGCTGGAATTTTTTCTGGTTTGAGCTTGCAAAGGACTTGTGCATGCTGTTACCATTGCTGTGAGTTCATATGAGGAACTGACCAGCTGTCTGGAAAACTCTTTCTTTGTGGTCATCCACCACCTCTGGCTCTTGCAATCTTTCCACCCCCATTTCCATGACGATCCCAGAGCCTTGGGGGACAAAAGTTTGATATAGGTAGGCTATTCAGGGATAAGCACTTTGTAGCCGCTTGCCCTCCGCATGTTGGTCAATTGTGTGTTTCTTTGTTAATCACCATCTGTTGCATAGGAAACTTCTCTGGTGAGAAGTGAGAGATGCATTCATCTATAGGTATAAAAATTAGTCATTAAGAGTCAGTTTAATGTGATCACTATTTAGTAGAAAACTAGTATTAGGTTCTCACCTGTGTCCTGTGATCTGTTTAGCCTTGGGTCCTAAGCCTAATAGCAATGTTAGGTATGGGGTCCATCCTAGGACGTGAACCTTAAATTCAGTTAGAGTGATTGGTTAATCCCATAATATTTGTGTCACTACTGCACCAGTGGGCTTATCTTGCCAGGCAAGTTGTTGTAGTTCACAGCATTCACAGCTGAGTAAGGCTGATGATGATTTCTTCCTTCAGGTAGCTTGCATAGTATGCTTAGAACATTAGTCTAGGAAGGATTAGACAGGGTGGGGATTGGGAGGGCAGAGCAGAGGAGAAGGGAATATAGGCATGGATAAGTAATGCGAAAGGTCTTTAGAAAAAGCCATATGGAAATCTACCATTATGGAAGCTTCTTAAAGTATATACATATACATAATAAAATAAATTAAAGGGAGTTATCCTATAACACGGGGATATTGAGCTTTCTAGACATCCTAGGTTAATAATAATAATAATAATAATAATGATGATGATGATGATGATGGTGATAAACCCCAATGCCAGGAATGGACTCCCTCTCTATAGGAGCTGTTGACCATGGGTCCCATAGACCTACAAACAATATTGGCCATTGCCCCTGCTCTTGGTTATCCATCAGAACTGGATGGTAAGACTCTGACACCACATGAACAGTAGAACAAACAAGGAGAGATCAAGCTAGTGCTGACTTCAGAGCCTCATCTTACTTTTTTTTTTTGAGAGAGTGTCTCACTATGTAGGCCAGGATGGTCTCAGAGAGATCTGCCTGCCTCTGTCTCCTGAGTGCTAGGATTAAATGCATGTGCCACCACACTCAGCTGTAAAAGTCTTTTGATATTACTCTTCTTCTTCATCCCGTGTGAAATGTCCTGGTATTTTATATTTCTGTATCACTCATCACAGACAGTACTTACTATCCAGTCTTGATTGATGTTGTCTTCACTCCTCTTCTCTGCCAATGGCCCTCAACATGAAGCCATAGCAAGTTGGTTAAACATGGATTTCTGTATCTTCAGGTTACCAAAGGGAGCTTCTCTATCAGAGGAATGATGGCTCTTTTAGTGCTTTTGGGAATGATGACCCTTCTGGGAGCACTTGGTAAGTGTTTTTCCAGTTAAAATGGTCCGTACTGGGTGTTTACTCGTCACTGGCTGTGGAACTGACAGGCCTGCCTATATGTGGACATAGCAGCTGATTGTTCAAGTCAGGCTTTACGAGTTTATCTTTTAAAAGTATGATTCTACAACATTTGCAAATCAAATGTTCTTTAGCAAAGATAAATCATAATTTCCCCTTTGTTTGTGGGAAAAACAGCAAGAAGAGTACTTTATGATGATGATACAAATGACAAGAAAATATTGCTACTGTGGCGTTTTTTCCATATCTGATTTATTAGAGCAAGTGTTTTGTTAAAACAGTCAATGTGATTTCTTTAAGATCGTATTTCTTGAAAAATAAACAATGATGGAATTAAGCAACGAACATCCAGAGTTTCCTCCTGAGTCAAGTCTCCATGCGGCATATTTTGGGCAATTAATCTTTCTCCTTGTTCTGTCTGCCATGGCCTCACTTCAAGGACTCGGGGAGATGAATTCCTCTGTATACTTAAAGTCAAAGAGTCCTGGATATTATTGAACCTTATTGATGCTTACCACATTAACCTTTTATGAGACAGATTTTCTCTTGTCAGGGGTCAGATCCATAAATAGATTGCTTGATTTTGTTGTTTGACAAAGCACTTTAATATAGTGTTCTTGCTGGGTGTGATGGCTCATGCATCTAATTCCAGTGTTTGGGAGGTGCAGTCAGATTGACTGAGGCCAGCTTGGGCTGCATAGCGAGACCCTATCTTATCCCTCTTCTCCTTCCTCCCAAATATAGTGTTTTGTATCAAGTTTAACATTTTCTTTTTCTGTAGTGTCACCTCATACAATAAATAGTAGACTTCGTGGGCCACAAGGGGCCTCCGTTGTACAACCTCTCTTCCTGCCTGACTTCCTTCTGCCTTCCCCCTTGTGTCCCTTCCTTCCCCCTTTCTCCTTCCTCTTTTTCTCCCCCATACCTTCTCCCCTCCCTCCTCCCTCCTCCCTCCCTTCCTTTCCCTCTCCTCTCCTTTTTCCTATCCCTGCCTTCTACTCTCCTCTTCTTTTCTTCATTCTCTCTCTCCCTTTAAAAATCATTCTTAGGGAGTCGGGTGTGATGACACACACCTTTAATCCCAGCACTCCAGAGGCAGAGTCAGACAGTTCTCTCTGAGATCAAGGCCAGCCCGGTTTGCATAGTGAGTTCCAGGCCATGTGGGGTTACAGGGAGTCCTTGTCTCAAAAAAAAAAAAGAAAAAAAGAAAAAAGAAATCCTAAGGGCTGGGAGATGGCTCACTGGGTAAAGTGCTTGCCATGCAATCTTGGGGACTTGAGTTTGGATCCCCAGAACCCATGTAAAAAGCCAACTTTGGCAGTGGTGTGTGCCCATAACCCCAGCCTTGTGGGGGATGGTGGAGACAGGTGACCCTTGAAGCTCGCTGGCCTGCTGGGGGACATCTTAGTCCAGGTGAGGAACTTCAGGTTCAGTGAGTGATCCTGTCTAAAAGAAAGGTGGGAGCTACTGAAGAGAGACATCTGCTATTGAGACACCTGCTGTTGAACTTGAGCATTCACACATGTACACAGCACACCCATACAGAGCACACATTCACAGAGACACACACCCAGACACAGAGACACATACAAATCATTCTTAGGTGTTAGTGGCAGGTGGTGAATGTGTACACATGTGGGTCTGGAAGATTTGACCAGAGCCTATAGGAGAGAAAGCTATCCATTTCCCTCAAAGTATTAAGTTTGCTTGTGAACTCCAAATACTTCACGCACAGCTTTGGACTGAGCAAAGTGTGTATGGAATCTTCTTTGGTACACGTCTAGAGCAGTCAAGGGTGTGTTACCTTAGGCAATTTAACTATCTTGGAAAGCCAAATGCTCAATAAGGGGCTATAAAATATGGGGATAGATTTACACACACACACACACACACACACACACACACACACACACGCACGCACACACACACAATTGGAATGACACAGAGAAGATTGACATCATCCCTGAGCAAGGATGACATGCGAATTCATAAAGTGTCCCATATTTTAAAAAATGACTGGGTGACTCCTAAGTTCCTTTTCAGACGTGGCGTTCTGTGAGTCAACGTGGAGTTTCTCAGCTCCTCAAGTGAAAGTCAGGCCGTCCGCAGAGACAGGTTTTCCGTCTCTTTGTTCTCTTCCTTCCTTTCTCCGCCTTCTTCAGAAATTCCGCCTCTGATGAATTTTCAGGTGGGGAATGTGTTTTCTTTTTGCATCCTCAGTGTGATGTCGAGGACTGGAATGTTTAAATGCTTAATGTTTATGTGCTTCTCCCCTCTTTTACCAAGGTTGTCAGCTTTTGTTTTAAGATGTTTCCTCGAAGCTGATCCTTATATAGATATTGATCAGAACATATTGCACAGAACATATACTTGGCTCAAAGGATACCAGAAATCCAATGGTGAATTTTGGGAGCCAGGAAGAGTGATTCACAGTGAACTTCAAGGTGGCAGTAAAAGCCCAGTAACACTCACGGCCTATATTGTGACTTCTCTCCTGGGATACAAAAAGTATCAGGTATTTAATCTTTGATAACTTCAAGGAAGGTAGACCTTGATGTGTCAGATATGTGTCTTGAAGCCGAAAGTGCTTCATAATTTTGCGTTGCATTTGAAATCTGCATTTGGATAGTCCCGGGCTCTGCATTTGTGGTCACAATCCAAAATATGAAGACAAAAGTAATTACAAACTCTTTCAGAGAAGACAAAGGAATTCTCCAATACTTTAAAACACACGTACTGCACTTGCTTTTGGTAATATTAATATTTCATTGTTAGGGGAAAGAATATAGTTTACAATTGGGAATGTGTTTCCTTGAGGTGAAGGGTTTTTATTTTTTTATAGTGAGAGGGATTGAACCCAGAGTGTTCAAGTTCCCTACCACTGACTATGTCAGCCGTTTGAAGGATTTAAGAAAAAAAAATTTCTAAACTTTTAGAGAACAATCCCTGTGAGTATCTGTTAATCGAGAAAAGTACACCTGCTTCTGAAAGCCTCTGGATTGGGCTTAGGGGTGTGGCTAAGAATGACTGTGGATGGAAAGTTATGCTAATTGTCTTCATTTTGCCTCAGAGCTCTCCTGATGCCTTATTGCTTATTGGACTGTGTTTCACAAAATCAACAGCTGTTCTCTGCTAGGCTCCCACAGTGTTCCGATCTAGTACATGCCAGACAAAGTTTCCCCTGAGCTTCGACATTCAAGTCCTGAAATTATGTATGAGAAATATCTTTCTGAAGTTGTGTTTTCTTCTGCTATTAGGGTTTATGATACTCACTGGATAAACAATTACAGCAACTCTGTTTTGTTTCTTATCCCCAAAGAATAGCGCCTACTCAATTACAACAATTGAATAGTACTATTATTTTCCAAAATATGTACCAGATCTTTCAATGACAGTGAGTGTTGTTGATTCCTATTGCCTGAAATGAGGTCAGATACTTAACAGACACTGGGATCATTTTGTTTCTTTTTTAAATTGAATTTTTGAGATTTTTGTACAATATATTTTAATCATTTAGACCCTCTCTCCTATCTGCACACCTTTAATAGTCCTCCCTCCACTGGATTTTATGTACTGTGCCATTAATATAAGATCTGTTGAGTTAAGTTTGTGTCCACAAATGAACTTTAGTGTGTAGCCATCCTCTCGACCCTGGCTAACCTAATGTCACACCCTTAACGAAAATCAACTTCCCCCTTCCAGTAGTCAGTGGTTGCCAGTAGCTGCTCAGCTAAGGTTGGGCTTCTTCCCCATCTCCCCACTTCTATGCTGGGCTTTTGTCTGGCTTGAGCTTGCATAGGTCTTGTACATGCTGTCACCGTTGCTGTAGTTCATGGTAGTAACTTTTCACTTGTCTGGAAAACTCTGTTTCCTTGTGCTCACCCACCACCCCTGGCTCTTACAATCTTTCTGCGCCCTCTCCCGACTGGAATCATTCTTTGGGTGGATGTTTCAGTGTACCTTTTGTTTACATATATGGTGTAGTAACATATGTATGTTTTTCTTTCAAGCCTAATATTGATATACAAGACTCTATCAAGTTTTTGGAGTCTGAATTTAACAGAGAAATATGGGACAATTACACTTTGGCTCTTATAACCTATGCACTGTCCTCAGTGGGGAGTCCAAAAGCCCTGGATGCTTTGCGCATGCTGACTCGGCATGCAGAAAGGGAAGGTAATGTCTGGGCCCCAACTGAGCTTGCTAGATTGTTATGGAATGTGTGTGAGAAAATATGAAGTTATTTGCATTTGTGTTTTTGGAATGAGATGAAGAATGATGCATGGGCTTGAACGTTATATTGTTTCTAGGCTCCCCAGGGGCTGTTTATAGAACTTAAGGGCCTGGGCATCTTGTAGATGTGTTCTGCCTTTGAGTTTCTCTTTGAGTTGTTACCTTTTGAGTTTCTGACATCATTTCTGATTTGAAAGAAGTGTTACTACCCCCAAAGTCTCTATAGTCAGGGATTAATGTTTGTGTCTTGGGGTGAATTGGTGGGCATAAGTAACTTTAGAGAGAATCCACTGATTTAAACAATTCTGTTCATTCAAAAACGATAACTGGGCCAGGCATGGTGGCACGCACCTTTAATCCCAGCACTTGGGAAGACAGCAGTGGATCCCAGCACCCGCACCAGGCTGCTCATAATAGCCTGTAACTCCTGCTTCAAGGGATCCATTGCCCTCTTCTGGCCTCTGTGACCACCACCATACGTGTGCTTGCATGTGTGCTGTGCATGCTGCCCCAGTGATAAAAATAAAAATAAATCCTTAAAAGAAAAGAACGGATAAGTACAGAAAGTGCTTAGTGGTCTGACTGTAGAAACTGTGATATTACTAATTTAGATTTAATCCTTGTTACCAATTCCAGGCTTGAGGACCATCTAACTATTGCATAGAGACTGAAGTGAAACGTTTGTCCTGTGCTGGGCTGTGTGATAGTCACTCCACATTCCATTGATGTGAAGTCACCATCTATGTATATGAGAGGAAGGTGGGGGGGTTCCACCCGGGACAGTCTGAGGGGTAGAGCAGGATTAGCTTCAGGAAGGGTGTTGTCTGGCATCCCTCATTTTTCCTTGGGGGCTTAGAATTTGAGTTTGTAACACCGTCTTTCAGAAGAGGAGAAAGGGAGAGGCTTCCAAGAATGTGAGAGCTGGCTAATGATGCATTCCCAGAGCATAGTTCTTTCCCAAGTGTTCTGAACTATGTGCAAGATGACCTGGCCAAATAAGTTATATGTATTATTTTCTGGAATATGCTATTTCTCCCTTTTATTTTATAAATGTTTAGTCTTGAGCCAAACATATGGAATTTCCCTTGGGAAAAATATTTTAATCAAAGCATCCATCCTCAAATGCAGGCAATAAAAAAGGATGAAAATTTATAAGTTGTTATAGTTTAGAAAGTAACATGTATAATTACACAGTTCTGTGTGTTTATCTATGCCTGTACTTGCTAGTGTGTATATATATGCTTTATTTGCTGGTCAAATAGAACTTGGACTAGTATGAAAATATGTAATGGTATAAAATGTAATGTTTGGTAGTTGATCAGAATGTTACTGCTTTTCTCTCAGGAGACATGCAGTTTTGGGTGTCATCAGCACCCACCCTGTCTGAGTCCTGGCAGCCGCGCTCCCTGGATATCGAGGTTGCGGCATATGCTCTGCTTTCACACCTGCAGCACCAAGTTTCTGAGGGAATCCCAGTGATGCGGTGGCTAAGCAGGCAGAGGAACAGCCTGGGAGGTTTTGCATCTACCCAGGTGACAGTTTTTCCTTTAAAAAAATACATTTTTAATAAATGAGAAGAATGTGGTTGCTTTCTCATGTAGTCATAAATTTACTTCAATTAAAAGTTCAGTAACCCAAGTCAAAGGGTTAAGATAGTTTTTTTCTCATTTGAACTTCATATCTGATATTTACATGAAATAAACGAGTTTCTCATCTGTATTAGTTATTTTTTGTCTATGATAACTGATTTAAGGACAGATGCTCAGTTCTGTGCTGTAATAGTTTTTTGAGCGTCTTATGAACTTGAAGTCAACCAGTTCAAAGACCACTGAGAGAGCGCTGTGCTCTCAAGGTGGGTGGATAAGCATGGTTTTCTAAACGGCTGATTTTTTCCTCTAGAGATTTTGTGTATACCTACATGCACAATCATTTTTCTTCTTTCAATAGGATACCATTTTAGCCTTAAAGGCCCTCTCTGAATTTTCATCCTTAATGCATACCGAAAATACAAATATCCAAGTGACTGTGATGGGACCTAGCGCATCAAGACCTGTGCAGTTTTTGATCGACACTGAGAACCGCATTCTCCTTCAGACGGCAGAGGTTTGAACAGGGGCGACTATTTAGAATCCACGTAGAAGGGCCTTCATTCTGGAATACTGCTCTCTACTAACTTCAGAAAAGAGCTGCTCCCAGGGCCCTGCAGAGATTGAGGAGGAATGTCCTCCTTTGGTTGAATTTCCTGAACTCAGGGAAGGTGGAAGGGATGGGAACCTTCGGAAAGATGAGTAGAAAAGGAGGAAACATACACTTTCACATCGGGAAAGGGATAAAAACCACCAAATCCCAATTTTGTGTAGACACTGTGCTAGGTCACTGAACCTGTGCTCCATTCCTTCCTCAAGCCAAGCATTTTCCCCACTATTTAACATGCGAGAAAGTAGGCTGAGAAGCCATGCTGCTAATAACAGTAGAGCAAGGATTTGAACCCATGACCCCGAAGACTATATTCTTTTTAGCTATACCACTGGTCCTCTTAGGAGAATTGTTAGAGCCAGTAGAAAAATTATTACTGTATTATTAGTATTGCATTTCCCCCCATTTTTCTGAGGATTGGTTTTGCTCTATAGCTCAGGATGGCCTAGAATTCACTGTTGTAGCCCAGGCTGGCCTTGATCTCATGATTTTTCTGCCTCTGCCTCTGGAATGCTGGCATTACAAGCATATACCAATACACCTGACTGAAATTCTTACTTTAAACTTCAAAAAAGGGTTATGCTAAGACCTAAGGGTTACGCTTTCTCCCCTTGGAAACTGAAGAAAAGGGATAATGGCGCTGGAATAGAAGGCTAAAGCTAGACACGATGATGAAATGCTCCCTTGTGTCCGTGGTCAGTGCTCATGGTCAGTCAGGTGCTGACTCAGGGAGCTTGGAGGCAGGCATGCTTCAACCCCAACAGGAGGATGACTCTGGGAGAAGCATTGGTGTGCCTTCCCAAAGTCTTGGGCTAAGGGAGTTTGGAGAGCATACATCCTTCACCTGGTTGATGAACAGCCCTAATTTGGGTCCAGGCAGAGCTCCTAGCACTGTGGTGGGGTGTTTCTTCTCCTAGCACTGTGGTGGGGTGTTTCTGCCTCTCCTAGCACTGTGGTGGGGTGTTTCTTCTCCTAGCACTGTGGTGGGGTGTTTCTTCTCCTAGCACTGTGGTGGGGTGTTTCTTCTCCTAGCACTGTGGTGGGGGTGTTTCTCCTAGCACTTGGTGGGGGGTTTTTTCTCCTAGCACTGCGGTGGGGGGTTTTTTCTTCCCTGAACCTGTGCTCCATTCCTTCCTCAAGCCAAGCATTTTCCCCACCATTTAACATGTGAGAAAGTAGGCTGAGAAGCCATGTTGCTAATAACAGTAGAGCAAGGATTTGAACCCATGACCCCGAAGACTATATTCTTTTTAGCTATACCACTGGTCCTCTTAGGAGACTTGTTAGAGCCAGTAGAAAAATTATTACTGTATTATTAGTATTGCATTTTCCTCCCTTTTTCTGAGGATCAGTTTTGCCCTATAGCTCAGGATGGCTTAGAATTCACTGTTGTAGCCCACGCTGGCCTTGATCTCATGATTTTTCTGCCTCTGCCACGCTGGCATTACAAGCATATACCAATACACCTGACTGAAATTCTTACTTTAAACTTCAAAAAAGGGTTATGCTAAGACCCAAGGGTTACGCTTTCTTCCCTTGGAAACTGAAGAAAAGGGATAATGGTGCCAGAACAGAAGGCTAAATCTAGACACAATGATGAATGCTCCCTTGTGTCCATGGTCAGTGCTCATAGTCAGTCAGGTGCTGACTCAGGGAGCTTGGAGGCAGGCATGCTTCAACCCCAACAGGAGGATGACTCTGGGAGAAGCATTGGTGTGCCTTCCCAAAGTCTTGGGCTAAGGGAGTTTGGAGAGCATACATCCTTCACCTGGTTGATGAACAGCCCTAAATGGTGGGGTGTTTCTTCTCCTAGCACTGTGGTGGGGTGTTTCTCCTAGCACTGTGGTGGGGTGTTTCTTCTCCTAACACTGTGGTGGGGTGTTTCTGTTTCTTCTCCTAGCACTGTGGTGGGGTGTTTCTTCTAGCACTGTAGTGGGGTGTTTCTGCCTCTCCTACACTGTGGTAGGTGTTTCTGCTTCCACATGGGATATAACACGAACTCTTTGCTACTTGGAAAACTCTGTATACAGAAAATTAGCCTCATTCACTTTTCTTCTCTCACCTTTTTTAGCTTGCAGTGCTGCAGCCAACTGTCGTTAATATTTCTGCAGACGGTTTTGGATTTGCTATTTGTCAGGTATGTATGTAATTTTTCAGTTAAATATGACTTTCGATAATAATTCTTTGTTTTGGAACATTGCTGTCTTCAACATAGATAACTTGTACAAAATAATTAATGACGGCCAGTGAGATGATTCAGCAGATAAAGGAGCTTGCTGCCAGACCTCATTTTGATTCCCAGGACCCACATGGTAGTTGGAGAAAACCAACTCCCTCATCTGCTCCCTGACTTCCACATCTGTGCATGGCATGCCCCCACTGCCCACACCCCATACACTTGTGAGGAAAATAAATAAGTGAAAATGTAATAAAATTCTAAATGATTTACTTTTATGACTTGGCAAGATACATTATTTTCTTTACTACAAAGTACCAGAGATGTTACGAACTACTGAGTAGACAGCAATTATGTGTCTTGACAGTCTACTTGGAAAGCATTTCTCGGAGGTTTACTTGCCTTTTGAAGGGATAGCCCAGGCTGCTCAAACTTGTGATCCTCCGGCCTCAGTCTCCCAGATGCTGGGATTAAAGGCATGCACCACCATGCCTGATGGAAATATATATTTCACTTATGAATTCTTAATATTTGTCTAAGAATATAAAGGTCAGTATGGCATTACACATTGTTTTTATGGAAAATGTATTTTTTAAATGTCAAACCTCATTAAATAGCAAATATTGTAATTAGAGCATGGTTTTGTGTTCCATGGTATAGGAAGAAAATAGAAACAAACCTGCTTTGGATGGTACTATAATTAAAATGGAAATAGGGGCTGGAGAGATGATTCAGCAGTTAAGAGCACTGACTGCTCTTGCAGAGGACTCACATGGCTGCTAACAGCTGTCTGTAACTCCAGTTCCAGGGGATCCAATGCCGTCTTCTGACCTCTGTGGGCATTGTCACCTTTACTTATTCTGCCTACTCTCCTCCAGTCCCCTTCCTTTTCCCCAATAGCCCAAAAAAAGTACTTTAAAAAACACTATGGGCTGGGCATTGTGGCACATGCCTTTAGTTTCAGCACTTGGGCAGAGGCCAGTAGGTCTCTGTGAGTTCAAGACAAGCCTGGTCTACATAGCAAGTTCCAGGACAGCCAGGGGCTACATAGTGAGGCCTGTCTACAAACAAACAAATGAACGAACACACTGGTACAATTACTTCTGTTGAGAGAATTGACATATTGATTAGTGGGGAAGAAATACCTTGTTAAGCAGATACAATTTGGGAATTTCCAAATAATTCTAAGATTTTGGGGGGAAGATTTCTTTTTTAATGTTTTCAATTATGTGTATGCATGTATATCTGTGTGGGGGTATGTGCACAGGAGGTCGGAGCTGTCGGAGTCCCTGGAGCTGTAGTTACAGGTGATTGTGAGCCGTCCAACATGGGTGTTGAGAACTGAGCTCTTGTTCTTCGCAAGAGCAGTACATGTTAATTGCTAAACCAGCTCTCCCGCCTACTTCTAAGACTTTTAAAAAAGGATTATTATTATTATGTCTGCTCTGTGTGTATATGTGGGTGCACATGTGCCACTGAGTATGTATGGAGCATGTATAGAGGTCAAAATTCTATCTTTGCACTGTGTTTTCTGGGAATTGAACTCAGTTCTCCAGGCTCATGCAGCAAGTGCTTTTACTGGCTGGGCCATGTCACCGGCCCTCCAAAAATTATTTTGCATGCTACTCAAGACACAGAAAGCATTTTTTAAAATTAAGGCAGAATAGTTATAGTGAAATGAAATGTTTCTCAGTGAAAGGGAAAGTGAATAATTTATATAGTTCTTTATTAAGAGCATGGGAAAATTCTCATTTCCAACTGTCCTTCAATACAAAAATAAATCCAAAAGTAAGCAAAACTGGAGACTTCTGTATTCTTTTTTTTGGTGGGGTCTTTTTGAGACAGGGCCCTCTAGCCCCAGCTGGCCTGGAACTCACTCTTAGACCAGGCTGGCCTTGAACTCACAGAGATCCGCCTGCCTCTCCCTCCAGAGTGCTGGGATTAAAGGCATGCGCCACCATACCCAGACTTAGCTGACATTTTATAAATGCTCTGGAAAAGGAGTGCAAAGAGAGCTCTCAGGCTTATGGTAAATGTTAATTTATTTGGGTAATAAATTCTAAGTAGTGGTGAATATATTCTTTTGAAGTTCTATGAGTGCAAAGTTGAGCTTCACTGTCATCCAATAAAACCCTAATACAGACAGGTGTCAGTCATTGCCCTCGTCACAAATGTAGTAGCCATGTTGATGACATCGATCTCTGAAGGGACAGCAGCCTGTCATGGAGGGAGGGGGATGAAGAGAACAGAAACTGCTCTCAGTTTACAAAACTGTTCTCCAGCTGCTCCAGGAACAATTTTAATTAATGTTATATTTAGTAATTAATTGTAGATTAAGAATAAGTTGCAAAATGTCCAGACTAAAATAATCAGAATTATGAAAGGGATGAAAGGGTGTGTGAGTTTATTTGTGGCAGGACAGAAAGATTAGAACTCTTAGATATGAAGAGTGAAGGCTTAGTGAGAGATTTTTTAAAGTATGTAAATCCTAGAAGGGCACCAGATGTTTATTTTGGGGGGGGTGGTGTGTGTGTGTGTGTGTGTGTGTGTGTGTGTGTGTATGTTTTTAGTAGATGTAAAGGGAAATTCAGTATCACATGGACCTTGGTTTGGAATAAGTGCCTGCATATTAATACTTAAATAGATCACATAGGAAATTTTGAGTGCATTCCTAAACTCCTGATTTAGAATCATTTTGAGAAAAATTGGTCTTCATGCTGCCCCAGTGTGCCCACAGCGCTTTCATAGCAGGGATGGCACAGAGCATGTGCTGGAAAAGACTTCAAATCCCTTTATCATCTTTGAAAAATGTTTGGTGATGAGGAAGAACTCTCAGTGGTTGAGAAGGTGATATTTTAGTTCTGATTTATCTTACTGGTTCCATTTGGGTGACAGAGCTTAGAAATTAGTGAATATTCTCAAGAAAATGAATGTTTTACATTCTTTGAGAAAACAGTATCCCATGAGCATCATACATACATACATACATACATACATATATACATACATAGCATTCTGTGACAGTTTGGAATATTACCTTATAATTTTCTCAATACAAATATTGGTGTTTATAGCAGCATTAGTTAATAATGATGCATTCTTAGCTAGTAAAGCTTTTTTTTCCCTAGTTTGAAGAATACAAATCTAATTGTATTTATTACAAAAAGAATCACTGCCTAATATTTAGACTGTGCAGTGATAGTAATTTATTGCTAACAACTTATTGCTACTTTATCATTTATGCTGATTTTCTATTATTGCAGCTCAATGTTATTTATAATGTGAAAGATTCGGGGTCTTTTAGAAGACGGAGATCTGTCAAAAATCAAGAAGCTTTTGATTTAGATGTTGATGTGAAAGATGAGAATGATGTTAATCATGTGAATTTGAATGTGTGCACAAGGTAGGTATCTGGTCAGATCTCTCCTTTATTTTTCTCCTTGTAGAACATAGATTTGAAGGTTTGATTCTGTGCAGTTGTCACATCATATCAATGAAGGGGCTATAGCCTGAAGTCATGTTTAAGCTTTTCTTAGACATGCTCAAAAATGTTTGTAAATTTCCCTGTATCTGTAACAAAATTGGATAGAAAAATATAAATTGTATTGATTAGTGTGTGTGTGTGTGTGTGTGTGTGTGTGTGTGTGTGTGTGTGCACACATGCGCGAGTGCGCCATGGTGTACACATGGGGATCAGAGAGCAGCTTTCTGGAGTTGATTCTCTCCTGCCGATTGTGGGTTGCGTGGATGGAACTGAGATCATCAGGCTTGCATGGCAAGCACTTTTACCTGTTGAGTCATCTAAGGATAAACTTTTAGGTGAGAACTCCATTGCTAGTTGTGGGATACCTCTCTAGGAGTTGTTGGTCTTTGAGGACCCCCCCAATATAGGTTATTGCCATTACTCTGTTGTTCACCAGAACTAGCTGGTAAGAGCCTATTGCTAAACATTTTGGTTATAAGACACAGAGAAATCAAGGGAGAACTGAGCTGGAAACTCCCTCCCTACTGGCTAGAATTGATTGTTCTGGAAGGTGCTATGCAGGCTGCCAGTGGAGAAAACTCCTCAATGATCTGACCCAACTCTAGATCATGTATGCTACAATACCGATGCTCCAGGCAAGACATGTCGACTGAGGAGGCAGAGGCAGCTGGATGTCTGTGAGTTAGAGACCAGTCTGGTCTACATTGTGAGTTCTAGGCTGGCAAGGGCTACATAGTGAGGCCCTGTCTTACAAACCAGGGAGAGAGGGAGAGAGGGGGAGAGAGAGGGAGAGGGAGAGGGAGGGAGGGAGAGAGAGAGAGAGAGGGAGAGGGAGGGAGAGAGAGAGAAGAGAGAAGAGAGAGACTAAGCTGACCCCAAACTTACTATGTAGTTAAGGATTACCTGCAATAGTGGCATGAGTGTTTGGGTAATAACTAATCACTTTATGATTGGATTTAGACGTGCTCCAAATGAAGAACTACACACTTAGTACTATAAATCTGGTCAAAAGCCTGTAAGTAAAAAGAAAAAGAAAAATATAAACTAATAAAAAATTCAGGCCTAATTTACGAAAAACTCTAATATTGTCAATCATATTTATAAAATAGTTATTTTTTATTTTTTCTGTTGAAATAATTTCATTTTGGGTTTAGATTTAGCTTTAAGTTTGATACTTTTTGCCCCCAAATTTTATAAGAAGATGCAAATCCAGCAAAAAGAGTAACAGTTGTTTTAGGTACTAAAAACGTTTCAGTTTAGAAGATTCTGGTCTTGGATAATTATAGAATAATTATGTCCTTGTAAGTGCAGCTCCCAGAAGAGGCTCTAAAATTGGCCTAATCCAAAGCGTCTGACCACAGTCCTGCTGACTTCACAGTAGGAAGTGAACTACCCTCTCCAGTGTCCTGGGTATTCTAGTGTCCGTGACTTCGAGAACAACTCTGAGAATGCTTGAATCGAGGCTTTGAGGTCTCTGCCTTTCCATTTTCTTCCCCATTGTTTGGTGTTCAACTGGAGGGTTCTGTCAGAATGCGCTGAGGAGCAACAGCCTGCTCTTTTCAAATATCTCAAAGCATTATGGTTGGACTGGAAGTCACTGATGCTCTGAGGTCGCCTCTGGGTGTTCATCCAGGTGCTCAACTTTCTTAGCTGTTGCCTGAACCCCATCTCCCTATTGCAACTGTCTGTTCTGTCTTTGGAGCAGTTGTCTGATTTTGAGGTGAAAATGCCTCACGTGTGTGCCCCATCCCTCCTCTTGGGCATTTTGACCAGCAGCAGGAGGTATCAGCATTTCTCCAGTGGCTTGCTGTCTTTCAGCCAGGAAGGAAACAGGACTTTGATTACTCTTTATTCGGCTTGCATTGATCTCTGTTCTAGAATGAAACATCAAGGTATTTTTGTTGCTGTCAGTAGCCATAGCCTACATGTGCTACAAGCTCCCATTCCAGGCCCTGGGCAAAACACTGCATGTATTTCATTTAGGCCTTGCTATACGACTTCTATATGGTAAGCTTTTCTCTTACGCGTTCATGCATGCATTCATTCATTTATTCAAAACAGCAGTTGAAAATCCTCTGTGTCTCACAGTGTCAGGTATGGGAGATGATGATGAGGGAAGTTCCAGAGCTCTCCCCCTAGCTAGTGCTCCTTCCCAGAGCCTTTGGTTCACCAGGGCTCTTTGACGAGGTCTGACAATACAGCCTGCTTTGTACTTTTAGTATTTATGCAGATCGGCTGTAATTTTGCTCACATACAAACACCTCTAATTTCAATGCAGTTACTAGTTTTCAACAGCATCTATTTTGGCTGAGTGTATCACCCAGCACACGGTTTTCCTTTCTTTGGCCTGCCGAGCCAGCCGACCTCCAATTGTACTGTCTGGCTTTTCAGTCAGGCATGTTCGGCAGCTGGCAGCTATGCAGCCCATGCTCTAAAAAGCAAGGCTTTCTAATAGCCTTTTTTTTTGCTTTTGTCATTTAAAAGGACAACCAGAAATTACTTAGTAATACGTTGACCCTTTTATTTTGCAGGCAGACTTGTTTCCGTAACCACAGAGGGGTCTTTCTGCCCGACATGGCAGGCTCTTGCCTCCTATTCATTTATAAAAAGATTTATTTTCAAGGAGACAAAATATCGTTGGTGCCCTTGGTACTCACACCGCATCCATCAGGTGCCAGGGACGCCAGTAGCGTAGCTTTCCGAGGCTGTAGTTCTCTCAAGGTGGCCGAAGAAAAGAAGATGTGCTTAGCCAGGAGAGCAAAGGGAGGCCTCCCAGCAGCGGTCGTCTCTCTCTTCTCTCTCTAAAAGCAGATAGGGGAAGGCTGCCAAGGCGCAGGCTGGAGTCCGCCGCTGCTGGGATGCTCTCTCACCGCTTTCGGGCTTTCAGCTGGAAAGTGTGGTGCTGCCAACTTTCGAGAGACTGTCAACCTTCTGAGAAATGTTTGGTTGAGAACCGGTACAAAACATGGCTAGAATCTGTTGAAAGGTGGTGCTGTACCCGCTGCAACGCGCAATCACCAGCCTGCTCCATCCAGGCGCTTCCCTTCTCTGTCTGAGGAACGACTGTTACGATGTCACATGTCGTTGAAAGTTACAAGAACATCACAGATAAAAGACAAGGATAAACCCTTAAAATTTTTTATAGTGATTTTATTTGAGCTCAAACAGTATTTAGCGTAACATTTGATAGTTTTAATTTTTGCAGAGCATTTGCCGTAAGTTTGTCCTGAAGCGTTTCCTCTCTTCCTCGTCTGTTTGCTGTAGGTTTTGGGGCTCAGAGAGGAGTGGGATGGCCCTTATGGAAGTCGGCCTTCTCAGTGGCTTTACTGTACCTTCAGATGCAATTCCTCTGAGTGAGACGGTGAAGAAAGTGGAACACGATCATGGAAAACTCAACCTTTATTTGGATTCTGTAAGTCGTAGGACATCTCATAAAGATAAGTTTTGGCAAAGGTTCTGTGTACTGTGTTAAAAAAGACTACCTTCTTGTAAGAGTGTTTTCTTACCTCATTATTTCAGCTTTTTTTGTGTCTTTGAATGATTTTAACATGGCAACCTTATGTTTATCTCCACTAAAAAGACATCACTGGGACCAGGGAGGTGGCTCTGTGGGTGAGAATGCCTGATGCACCTCAGTTTGAATCGCTGGCACCCCAGTAAAAAACTGGAAGTAACCACATCTGCCTGTAATCCCGGAGCTGTGGAGAGAAGAAGCAGAGTGTTGCTGGGGCTTACTGGCTGCCAGCCTAGCTCCAGGTTTCGTGAGAGGTTCTGTGTCACAGGAACACCTGGGGAGCGACGGAGTAGCACACCCAATGTTCCCCTCTGGCCTCCACATGCACGGACACATATACCACATACACATACACCACACACCTGTACCATACATGCATACACTCACACATATACACAAAAAAATTTCAGTAAGATAGCACTATGAAATTAGTGAGTTACAATGAACGTGGAGCCCATGTTTCAACTCTTGGCAGTATTTCCGGTACTATTGGGGTCCTCAGAAAGTTCTTGCCTGTGCCTTTAACTCTGTGGTATAATTTGAGGTCAGGTATTGTGAGGTGGTCAGCATTATTATTTTATTTTTAATTTTTGGTCTTTTTGAGTCAGGGTCTCCTCGTAGCTCCCACTGACCTGGAACTTGCTATGTAGACCAGACTAGCCTTGAACAGGGGTCTGCCTGCCTCTGCCTCCCAAGTGCTGGGACTAAAGGTGTGCTCCACCACGCCCATCCGGTCAGCTTTGTTTTTTCTGCTTAGGTTTATTTTAGTGATTCGTGGTCTTTTATGTTTCCATATGAATCTTAAGATCGTTTTCTCTAGTTGTACACATGTCATTGAAATTTTGTTGGGAATTTCTTTCAAACTGTAGAGTGCTTTTGACAATATAGATATTTTCACAATAGTAATTCTGCCAATCCTTGAGCATGAGAGTGCTTTCCAACTTCTAGAGTCTTGTGTTTCTTCCTCCAGTGTCTTAATGTTTTTATTGTAGAGGTTTTTCACCTGCTTGATTATATTTATTTCTAGTTTTGTTTAGAATCTACGGTTAATGGGATATTTTTCCCAATTTCTTCCCTAGCAAGTTCATTACTGGTATATACAAAACCACTGATTTTTCCATCTTGCTTTTGTGTCATCTGCTTTACTGAAGGTGTGTGTCAGGGTGAAGAGTTTTCAGGTGGAGTCTTTAGGGTCTTTACAATAGGATCATGTTACCTGAAAATAGGGACACCTTGACTTCTTTTTTTCGTGTCTTTATTCCTTTTGTTTTTTCTCTTACCACTTAGCTAAGACTTTGAGCACTGTGTCAAGGCACGGGGAGAGTGAGCACCCTTGTCTCACCCAGATTTCAGAGGAAAGGCTTCCATTTGGCAGCCTGTTGGTTGTAGGTGTGTCATGTATAGCATTTATTCTGTTGAGATATGATTCTTCTAGTAGTAATTTCCTGAGGACTTTTATCCTGGAGGCATGTTCAACTTTGTCAGAGGTCTTTTCTACATGTATTGAGATAATGGTGTGATTTCTGTCCATAAGTCTGTTTATATTCTGTATTACATGTACTGATTTGGATATGTTTAAGCAACCTTGCGTCCCTGGGATGAAACCAACTTGAATGTGATATATGGTTTTATTATTGTGCTCTTGAATTTCATTTCATTTGTATTTTGTTGAGATTGTTTGCATTTTTGTTCATTGGGATATTAAATTGGTGTATAGTCTCTCTCTCTCTCTCTCTCTCTCTCTCTCCCTCTC